ACTTCAACTGATCCCCGGTGTGTGTGTGTTTTCTGGATCTTTGGGATTCTCCCAGCTGCCAAAATCCCTACTGTATTTGCATGCAGTTTGTGTTGATTGAGCATAAATTCTAATTCAGCTAATTCAATATTTCTACCCACCAAGAGTTATATCAAAAATAAGATATTTGTATATTCATCGCGATATTTTCTGTGAATATCAGTGTGTCCATTATGCGCTTCACTGCAAATAAAAAATTGATTTCTTAGTATTTTTGACCACTGCATAAAACACTTTTCTTACTCAGTATTAGTGTCTTTATTTAAGATCTTGTTTTCTGAGAGAGAAAAAAAAATATTATTAAGAAAATTTAATCTGGCAAATAATCAGAATAAGATCATTCTTATTCACCCCATTTGCCGATAATTTTCGATTGCCGAAGTTACGACGTCACTCTGTAGGCCGAAACGCGGAAGTGAGTTCCCAGACAGCAAACTGACATTGAATCAACGTGGAAACGACGTCTCTCATGACATTGAAACAACGTTGATTTTGCTCATCGAATTAACGTTGAACCAACGTCAGACGCGGCATTCTTCAAAGCTAAATGAAAATCGAAAATTGGTTTGCTTTCATAATGTTGAAACAACGCGTTGATTTCAAGTTGATTTTCCGTTAGTTTTGAAAGAATGACGCGTCTGACGTTGGTTCAACGTTAATTCGATGAGCAAAACAATGTCAGATCAACGTTGTTTCGATGTCATATTTCCACGTTGATTCAATGTCAGTTTGCTATCCGGGTTAGCATTTTAGCATTACGGTTCCCTCGCTCTAAACTCTATGGGAATTTTGAATGGGTTTTTGCTAAATCGCCTGAAATAAGGTCTGTGACGAACAAAGCCTCTAAATATTTTTACGTTTTGATCTATGACATAGAACACACAGTTATAACCTGCTTATGGTTTTTTAAACTTTATTGTGTCTGATTGTCTTTTTTTAAATCTTTATATAGACTTCAAAATGTATAAATTTTGGATTAACTTGTAAAGATTATCTTGCTAGACAAAACGTGTAAGGGTCACAACTTTTTGTTAAACACAGATCTTATTTTTTGCGATTTTCCAAACGTCTATGGGGAAAATGCATTGCTTTTCGACCGAGGGAACCCATGCGCCCCTAGTTTATTTACCATACCCGAAGCGTGTTATATTGACGCTACAGGGTGCCATGTGCATTGGATGTCTACGCTTTGGCAAAAGTGTCGTATATGACGCCTTTGGAGCGTTGCACACATAGATATGGTTGCACACACACCTTCAGTCACAGGGCCATAATTATGTATTTACTTACTAAGGATAAACTTGCTTTCCTGCTGTTAATGAAGCACAAATATAAATAGATTCCTGAACATATTGTCCGGCATCTTGTCATTGTCCTTTGATGCGCTGACAACAAAAGAGAAAATATTGTACTCAGCCAAGGTTGCACACAGGGAGCACTTTATTATACAGTCCTGTTCCTCATGTTAGTACATATTAAAGTAATAGCAATAACTGGGTAATAACTAACCCATAACCTACCCCTAAACCAAACGTTACCTTATATAACCAAGTCCTAGGCTACATGCAAGTGCACTGCATTGTAAAATAAAGTACAACCTGCACACTCAAGTCTCAGCATTGTCACTCTTTTATTTCATGAAAACGAGATATTCAGAGATTTGACTGACTCTTTTGACTTACCTACTCTTTGCAAAACCCTGACCTCCAAACATTGCACAAACTGACTGACGGACACAAAGCGTTTCTGATTACAGTCCATATCGCGGAGATGTTTTATACACAAAGCTTTTTTTTCTGCGATATCTGTTTGAATAATTTATGCTGGGTATTAATAAATTAATTTTCCTCAGTCATGTCGAGATGAAAGACAGCATCTGTACACCTGGAACAGTGTGTTCTGTGTACCTCGACTCTTTTGTCGTATCTGTTCGCTGCACTTGTGGTGTGTGAGATATGGGTACAGGGACTCGGGTGCGTCTCAATCACCTCATGGATCACTATATAGTGTGCATGAATTCAGGCACTGGGAAGGACAATGGGCCGTTGATCCCAGTGATCATAAAGTTATATGAATATTTGTCTTACAAAAACGCTTCACTTTGCTTCAGAAGGCCTTTATTAACCCCATGAAGCCGAGTACTTTTATCATGGATGGATGCACTTTACAGGTTTAAAATCTCGTTTGCTGTCATTAAGCTCTCATTAAGCATTATATTTATATCTCTGATTGTGTTTGGCTGAAAGAAAAAGGTCATAATCACCTAGGATGGGTTAAGGGAGGGAGTAAATTAAGGGATAATTTTAATTTCTGGGTGAAAATGTCCGACTCCCTGATTACTGAAAGGAGCTGATTGAAACACCCTCGTTTCCCGCTGAGAAGAGAGTTATAATGAGGGCTCATCGTCAAACCCCCTCAGATGTCAGGTTTGGAGAGAGACACCTGTGAGCCGAACGCATTCCCGTCTCGCACCTCTTACTTACGAGCGACTTGAAGCTTGTTAAAGTCACATCTACCTCTGGATCATGTCAGGAGTCAACCCTTTCTCAGGTCTGCATGTGGGCAGGAAAAAATAAGAAATAAGAATTCTCTTTCGCTACTTTTTAAAAAGATTTCCTGCATTTTGACACCCTCTGTAATGAACACTGAGAATTACATAGGCTACAAACTCAAAGGTAAAAGTTCGAACACATTATACACTGTTAAAGGAGTAGTTCACACAACTTTTGCTGATAATTTACTCACCCCCATGTCATCCAAGATGTCCATGTCTTTCTTTCTTCAGTCGAAAAGAAATGAAGGTTTTTGATGAAAACATTCCAGGATTTTTCTCCATATAATGGACTTCAATGGGAACCAAACGGTTCAAGGTCCAAAAGACAGTTTCAAAGGGCTTTAAACGATCCCAGACGATGAATAAGGGTCTTATCAAGCGAAACGATCGCTCATTTAAAAAATAAATGGTCGCCTTGCTCTGTTCTGTGATCCACGTTCGTGACTCTCCTGTTCGAACTCGTTCATCAAAATGAACGAATCTTTTTCCGAGTCAATTCGTTCATTTCGTTCGTTGAATGAACCAAATGACTCGAAAAAATATTTGTTCATTTTGATAAACGTGTTCGAACAGTCACGAACGCGCATCACAGAACAGAGCAAGGCGAGCATTTATAAAACTTAAACTTTGTTATTTTTTTTTTAAATGAGCGATCGTTTCGCTTGATAAGACCCTTATTCATCGTCGGGAATCGTTTAAAGCCCTTTGAACAGTTTCCAGTTTGCACTGAAACTGTATTTTGGACCTTGAACCGTTAGGTCCCCATTGAAGTCCGTTATATGGAGAAAATCCTGGAATGTTTTCATCAAAAACCTTAATTTCTTTTCGACTGAAGAAAGAAAGACATGGACATCTTGGATGACATGATGGGGGTGAGTAAATTAAATACTCCTTTAAAAAAAGTAAAATCAACTTGGCTATAAAAGTTATTTCAACTTAAATGACATTAAACTGACTTAAAAATTAGTTGAATCTTTTATCACATAAAAACGTTGAAAATTGCTTGTTTTGTTGTTTTCACAGATTATATAAATATCAGGGGCGCAACTACCCAGTTTCAAAGGGGTATGCAGCAACAATTTTAGCGCCCCCCAAAAAAAAAAAAAATTAAATAAATGTAATGTAAGTGTGCTATGTAATAACTGAGTAGGAAGAAATGAGAGCTAACAGAAAAAAATAAGTGCAAAATTGTCGTTTATTAACACAATTAAACTATAGCTACTCCACCTTGATGAACCCCCCCTAAGAAAACTAAGCTCCATTGTAACAGCAATAGCAGTGTTTCTCACAGGATTTTAGGTAAAACTGTGGTAGGTGGACCTCTGTTTCTCTAGGGGGGTTCGGGGGCATGCTCCCCCGTAAGAAAATTTTGTGTTCTGTAATGTTAAATTCAGCAGTCTGGTGCACTTTGAGAGTTCAAAATTAAAAGCTCCAACCCATTTTCAGGGTGCAAATTAAACAGAGAAAAATTTGAACCTCTTTTAGTTAGTGTCTGTCTACATTACACTACTACATAATAATAGTTATTACTACATAATAATAGTTATAATATTAATCCCATAATAGTAATTGCCATTAAGGCTATTGTAAAACAAATGCACAGAAAAATAAAGGAAACTTTCATAATTAGTTTTGCACTAATTTCTATACTTGAAAGATACTTGCGCATAATGACATATTTCATGGGCCAGTGTGTCAGAAAAAAAAACTAAAGCTGACTTTTTTGACCTATGCATTACACCAGCACAGCGCCGCCAATTAAGCAAAAAACAAAACAAAAACAAACAACAAACAAACAAATGGGCCGCCGATGTATGAGTTTTGTGGGCCGTTAAGACAAATAAATTAAAAAAGGAAAAGCACGTCGGACCAGCGGGAATCTCCCGGTAGTCCCGATGGCCACCGAGATATAGATAGCCTGTGTGTTGGGATGTCACATTTTAAATCCTACCTGTTGGCTTTCAGCAATGCATGCAGTTATTTAGCTGCTGTTGCATCAATTGACATGCCATCTCCTTTTCTCTCTTTCTTTTTCTATTTTTAGCCCCACAGCATTTTGTTTTATCCATCTTTTTCGACGACAACTAACTACTCGTACTTGCTCGCTCAGCGCTCACGGCGCCCCCGCCCGCTCGCGATATTACCCGCCCCCCTTCTCCATGAGGGCGCCTACTCTAGCCTGGCTGTTAGTCCTCTAAAATTTTATATAACATTGAAGGAATGCAGAAATGATTTAGAAACGGACAACGGCAGCTACATATAGAAATACAATATAGCCTATATATAATTTTTTTTTTTTTTTTTTTTTTTTTACCATCGCTTTGGCGCCCCCCATTGTGCTGCGCCCCTATGCGCCGCATATAGCGCATACCCACTTTTTGCGCCACTGATAAATATCAATGTCTTATTATTTCCTTAAATGATGATATGGGCAAAGGTTGTATATGTTATCATGTTGTGGTTTAAAGAATTATTTCTGTGTGATTTACCTAATCTGTTGTGACTGGAGCGCGCGCACGGCTTGACTGCAGGATTGCGACTAAACTGCGATCGCGCGCATTCTCTCTCTCTCTCTCTCTCTCTCTCGGTTTAGTTCTATCTCAGAGTGAGTCGGGCACCAGATGCCATCACCTGTCGCGAGGCTCAACACTGGTGTGGAGCGAGAGCGCGCACGCACGGGCTTGTCCTGTGGCTAATTTAACAGACACTGTCGCTGACAGATTCAACAATGTTTTTCTGTGTTTGTTATTTTTACCTACTCTTCTTGTCTCCTTCGTGGGATGTTTCACTCCTCCCTGCGTTTTACTGATCCATAGGCTATACTCAGGTAAGCCCAGAAGAACATTTTTTTGATTGATTTAAGTTAATTTTAGTAATAAAAAACATACAAGTTATGGAATCTTGTAGTAATAATTGTAAGAATATGTTTAACTTCCTGCAGAACTGCGTGCATTTACACTTTGAGGGCAGAATTGACCGATAATGTTCTGTTTTAACCTCATCACAGCCGAATATCATTTCCCTGAAATGTGATTTTTTTGTTTCCACGCAGTTAGCAATGTGTCATTTCTAAACAATTATCAGAAATAATGTTTCTGAAGGATGCAACCAGACGAGAAAAATCGGCACGCCGCCGTTCTTCTAAGAATTTATTAAGGTGGAGGCAGATAGTTTGAAAGAAAATGTTTTGTAGTAAGACAGATCCAGTCGAGACCCTGCTTTTATAAGTGATAAGACCATGCAAGATAAGTACGTATTTCCTTCGTTTGTTCTGCTGGCAAATGTTGTGAGTTGAGGTCCAGCGAAAGTCTACACAAAATAGGCTACACATGCAAGTATGATGTATAAATAATATTAATAAAATAATAAAATGTGTATTATTCAAAATAAATGCATTTAAGACTAAATTGAACAGTTGTTCTAAGATAACTTTACTTAATATATTATGTGTAATCTGGACTATTCACATACTATGCCTTGTTTACTCAGAAAACCCAAGTTCAGATTAATTGATTGGTTTGAGTGCTATTTTGTCAACAACAACAAAAATGTTTTTTTTTGAGGCGGGGCAATTCCCCAATTTCCTTCACTCCTGCAGTTATCTTTCTAAAGTCGCATTCCCTAATTTCCCAAAGTCATCTTGAATGTTAAATTGTCAATTCAAGTCACATTGGTGACTTCATAAATTGATGTTGATGTTCACCATTATGATGATCAGTGTTCCCTTTGGTTGAGCACTTGGAACTTTATATTTATATTAAGCCAATCCGTTTGCATGCTTTTTTTAAAGTAAATCTAACTAATCATATATTTATATATTAATATATTTATATTTAATATATATAATTATATATTACGGTGTGTGACAAGTTGCCCCAACCTTGCCCCTTGCCCTGAAAAGAACACAGTTCAAACTTTCTTTAAACAAATAGATGACTTATTTATATTGTTTGAATGATTTACAAATATGGTCTGTGATTTAATTAAATTAGTTTTGAACTATTTTAACAAACTCTGCTAGATAATTTGTGTAAATGGACTTTTGACTAAAAACCCCTAAGCAACAGATGTTTGATACTATAGTGGAAGGAATATAAAATTTAGTTTCAAGTTGGGTGAAATCAAATCCAATCACTTTGGATAGTTTTGACTTATCTGTGCTCAAATTCAGAGAAAAGGGACTGTGAAAACATTGATCTCTGGACTAATAGAAATACCAGAATCAATGAATGCATTGAAGTTTTCATTGCAATTGCTGCAAAAAAAAACAACAATAGTTAACAGTGTTTTGCCTTTGTACAATAGCTTGAAAAAGCTTATTCGGTCCTCTTGATAATAAGTGATTAAACCCCCTCAAGCATTTTGACGACTAGAGGGGTTTCTTTTTTGCTTTTTGGCATCCATTTCATATCTTGTAGTTTCTAATAACGAGATGTTGAGTTTAATTAGATGTGTTTGAAATAGGGAGGCTTTTTTATACTAATGAATCTCAATGGTGTGACTAAAACGTGCCTCTATGCAGCTCTTAGGAGAGGAAGAAAACATCAACATGCATGCGTTGTGTCACTTCAGTCTCCTTGTGTGGGTTTGCAGTTTTGGCTCTGATCTTTACAGCCGAGGTGTGATCATCTGCACTGATTCAGTCCCTCTGATCTCTCACTGTAAAACAAGCGCATTCAATTTACTGTCCATCTGACAAACACGTACAAACATAAAGAGAAACTATGTACCCTGCCACTGAGCTTCATTACACTCTCTCTCATTTCATTTCCATCCAGTCACTCTAGACTTGTTGTTTCTGACCCTTTTATATCTCTCTGTCCATTCCAGATCCAGCATGGGGTCATTTAACCAATCCGGGTGGACGGGGTTCATCCCCGGGGATCGTAACTCCTCTTCCACTGGACTGGGATTTTCAGGAACTCCAGGTGGGAATTACACCGGGAACGTGTCGGATCAAAGCATGCCTTTCCAAGGGAGCAGCACCATGGTCACCGCGGTCATATCGTTCACCGTGTTTATCGTCGGACTTACCGGCAACACTCTGGCTATCTACGTGGTTTTGCGCTACGCAAAGATGAAAACGGTTACGAACATCTACATTTTGAACCTCGCCGTGGCCGACGAGCTGTATATTTTGGGCCTCCCGTTCCTAACGACGCAAAACGTACTCTCCTACTGGCCGTTCGGCTCGTTCCTGTGTCGCGTCGTGATGACGGCGGACTCGCTAAATCAATTCACGAGCATCTTTTGTTTGACAGTGATGAGCATCGATCGCTATTTAGCAGTCGTGCATCCTATCCGCTCCACTAGGTGGCGCCGGCCGCGAGTAGCTAAAGCGGTTAGCGCGGCGGTGTGGGCGTTTTCGTTCGTCGTCGTTCTTCCCGTGGTGATATTCTCTGACGTTCAGGACATGTTCAACTCGTGCAACATGAGTTGGCCGGAGCCGCGGGACGTTTGGTCGACGGCGTTCATCCTCTACACGGCGACGCTCGGATTCTTCGGCCCCCTGCTGGTCATCTGCATGTGTTACCTTCTCATCGTGGTCAAGGTGAAGTCGTCCGGTGCGCGAGCGGGATTTACCAAGCGCAGGCGCTCCGAGCGGAAGGTGACCCGCATGGTGGTGATAATCGTGGTGGTGTTCGTCCTCTGCTGGCTGCCGTTCTACATCATCAACATCGTAAACCTGGTGTTCATACTCCCGGAGAACAGCGTGATGGTAGGCGTCTACTTCTTCGCCGTCATCCTGTCGTACGCCAACAGCTGTGCCAATCCGCTGCTCTACGGGTTCCTGTCCGACAACTTCAAGCAGAGCTTCCGGAAGGTCCTGTGCGTGCGCAAGGCGAATGGCGTGGAGGATGGCGATCCCAGCTTGCCGCGGACAGAGAAGACGACGACCCACGACTCCTTCCTGACCCCTCGGAACAATGACTTTAATGGACACGTCCAGGGCAGCCAGGTACAGTGTCTCTGAAAGCACATCACACGTTGTTAAATGAATTTGTTGAACGTTTATATTCAGTGCTTGATATTTACACCCGTCAATGCGGTGTTTCAGAAGTGGCGTGTAAGAGATTAGTTGACTCAACTTAACTAAGTCAAGTAATCTCGTTGCTTTGACTGAGTTAAGTTGAGTCAACTAATCTCTTTTTACAGCCTAGCCACTTTGGAGGGTTGAATTTGATTAATTTTTATTACATTTTTTTCAACTGTAGTCTTTTAAAAAGGGATCTGAAATAATAAACTAATTGTCAAAAATATCGATTTTTCGATACATATCAATCTGAAACACTGTAAAAAAAATATTGTTGGTTTAACTTAAAAAAGTAAGTAACCTGGGTTGCCTTAAAATTTTAAGTTGATTGAACTGGAAAAAGTGAGTTAATACAATGAAGGAGATTAATTTAATCATCAGAAACTCAAAATAATAAGTTATCTCAACTAAATAAATTATTATAAAGTTGATTTGACAAAAGAAAATATGTTGTGATAACAAATCTGGAAAATATTTTTAGAATAGACACTCAAACCCGCCTCCGCTCACTCGCTCGTTTGATTTGCTCTGGATGAATGTTGTTGCCATAACAGGGTTCGAAAATGAAAATGAATTTGTTGAACGTTTATATTCAGTGCTTGACATTTACACCCGTCAATGCGGTGTTTCAGCAGTGGCGTGTAAGAGATTAGTTGACTCAATTTAACTAAGTCAAGTAATCTCGTTGCTTTGACTGAGTTAAGTTGAGTCAACTAATCTCTTTTTACAGCCTACACTCAAAAAAATAATCTGATGAACCAACTTAATTAAATTAAGGAAAGGTTTTCCACGAAATTGAATTACATTTTTCCAACAAATTCAAATTAGTTTGAAATAATTGGTTGTAATCTTGTAGTTTTTGTCCTGCCTAAATTCACCAACATTATAATTTTAGTTATTTTGACGGTCACTTCTAATGATAGACACTTCTAGTGTTCAATTGACCTCAATTTCAATTCCCCATTTTTTACATAGTAATATAATTACTAACAAACACTAACATTAAACACTAACATTAACAAACACATAAAATAACACTTTTTCCATAAATTGACCCTCTTAATGCAGTCCCTTGCAAAGCATGCTGGGAACTACAGATCCACTGCCCAGTTAGATGTCAACAATAATGATTCATGTAGATTTCACACAAATGAATTCGGTTGATTGAACACAATTAAATTAAGTTGTGACAATCATGTTGCTTTTGCTTATTTTAATCAATTATTTTAAATAGAGGCCAAAATTCATTTTTTGAGTGACATCCGTTTAAGACGAACGAAAAATATTCATGTTGACTCAATTTGGTAAACCAAATTTTTTTTAAAAGATTACATTGATTACATTTAATGAAATTAAACTGGAATCATTTCTATGAAGCATTGTGTCGTATATGCTCATTTTAATTAATGAAATTGAACAAAGAGCTAAAATCATTTTTTGTAGCCACTTTGGAGGGTTGAATTTGATTCATTTTTGATTAATTGTCTTTTAAAAAGGGATCTGAAATAATAAACTAATTGTCAAAAAATATAAATTTTTCGATACATATCAATCTAAAACGCTTCCAAATCTCATTTTCAGTAGAATAGACACTCAAACCGGCCTCCGCTCACTCGCTCGTTTGATTTGCTCCGAATGAATATTGTTGCCGTAACAGGGTTGGAATTTCGACGTCGGATTGCGCGTATTGTGCATTAGGATTTACACCCAAATATAACAAAGTTGCTTTGTAGTACAAAATTGAGGTCTTTTTTGCTGCTTATTATTCACATACACACAAAATAATGTCAAAATGCCGATCTTGGCGAGTATTCACGTCGACAGTCAGTTTTGTTTTAAGAGAATATAAATGGATGAGGAAGAAACGGGATGTGTTACAGTATAATGGATCCGTGCGTCAGGTCTTAAAGTGACAGCAGCCTAATAAACCTGCCACCAAATTATGAGATAATATTAAAAATATCTACAGTATATGGCAGTTTTTCCCAATGGTGTCTATGTCAAAATTGTGGCCAGTGAAATGCATCAACTTTGGAAAACCAGTTAATGTCAAGCCCTGATTATATTGCTATAATGATATCTTCAGTCTTTGATATGATATCATTTGTCTGATGTGCTGGTTGTTTTAAATCATGAAAGTTTGGTAACACTATTCAATAAGATTACATTTTTTCACGTTAGTTTTAAAGTCAGCTTGAAACTGAAGTTGCGATAGTCTTTTTTCCCCTATTGTGACAGATCTGAGTGTGACGGCTTTTCGAACAAGACAAAAAATGGGCGTGACTTTATTTTGTCCTTGAGAAATTGATTGGATGGTTGTGGTTTGCTATTGGCCGATCTCATGCGAGTGATAGATTGCAAACACATCATCATCATCATCAGAGAAGTCTCTGCAAGGAGTCAATTTGATCAAAGATGAAAAGATTTAATATTATTTAATGGACTTAAACTGACATGAACTAACAGTGAACAGTTGTTTTTTTTTTTATAAATGAACATTAACAAAGATGAATAAATATGATAATTAAATTAAATTAAGGAAATGCACATTAAATAATCCTTATTGTAAAGTGTTACCAAAAGTTATCTCGAGTTGGTTGTTAAAGGCATATTTACCCCAAAATTAAAATCCTGTCATCATTAACTCGCCTTTACAGTATGCAATTTCAAACCTTGTCTTCTGAGATTTTTAGCATAAATTTCACGTCATGAATGATACTGTGACCAAAAAGGAAAAAGTTTGACCATTCAGAGGATCTTAATATAGCATTAAGGACCGCTCCTGGTCTAGATTGGATTGTGTAACAGCACGAGGGTGAGTAAATGATGACAGAATTGTTACTTTTTGGCGAAGTAGTCCTTTAAGGTGTTTTCTAGAAGAAGAAGAACAACAGTACAGTCAGAGCCAGTGTATGTTGGCCCTTCCCTGCTGTGTTTGTGCATTCTCTGTAGATTACAAACATGTTGAGAATTTCACATTCGATACAGCTGCCAACATGTTGCTCCTTCCTCACTCCCCAAAGAGACAATCTCAGTGAAATGGATTTAGTGGACAGTAAATGGAGTGAGAGAGAAAGAGAGATAGTTAGTGTGTGTGTGTGTGTGTGTCTTCCTGCCTATCAGTCATAACCCCCTTAGTGCCCTTAGGGAGAACACTGCTCCTTATGTTCCCAATAAACATTCCCAATGTCCGTGTATATTAGCATCTGTGTGTGAAAGAAAAAGAAAGAAAGGGCTGACCAAAATCTTAAATTAATGTTTCGTTTCACACTCTAAACGATGCTGGGTTGTTTTAACCCAAATCTGGGTCAAATTCAACCCAACTTAAATTAACCCAACTTCAACTTTCACTTTCAACTGTACATTTTTTAATTGCATTTTTAACCCAACATTTGAGTTTGTCCATATTTGACCCAAATTTGGGTTGAAACAACCCAGCATTTTTTCAGATTGTAGGAATAACAATAAAACTTCTAATAAAAATAGGTTGTCACTATACTACTACAACAATATATGTGTTATTATATAATTCTAGAACTACTCTAAATAATATACAAATAAACCGGTCAAATTTCTGACCAGTAGTTATGTTTGTTGCACTCTAAAAAATGCTGGGTTGTTTTAATCCAATTTTGGGTAAAATATGGACAGACTTTGGGTTAAAATGTCATTTAAAATGTTAACCCAATTACTGGGTTTGTCAATATTTGATTCAAATTTGACTTAAAATAAACCAGCATTTTTTTAAAGCGTGGACATTAAAAAATAAAATGGTTAAACAATCAGCTTTCCACATTGTCATTTGACATTAAAAACTGCTGGGTTGTTTCAACCCAAATTTGGGTCAAATATGGACAAACCCAAATGTTGGGTTAAAAATGCAATTAAAAAATTTACAGTTGAAAGTGAAAGTTGAAGTTTGGGTTTGTCCATATATTTTACCCAAATTTGGGTTAAAACAACCCAGCATTGTTTAGAGTGTACACACACTTTTTGTAGATAATTAGTTAAACTATAATTATAATTATTTATCAATAAAAAATGACTTATATTTCCAAATTCGTAGTTCGTACCAGTAGTTATGTTTGTTGCACTCTAAAAAATGCTGGGTTGTTTTAACCCAGTTTTGGGTAAATAGACAAACCCAAACTTTGGGTTAAAAATGTCATTTAAAATGTTAACCCAATTACTGGGTTTGTCAATATTTGATCCAAATTTGGGTTGAAATAACACAGCATTTTTTAAAGTGTTTAATCATTTTATTTTTTTTAATGTCCACAATCAGCTTACCACATTGTCATATGACATTATGCTGGGTTGTTTCATCCCAAATTTGGGTCAAATATGGACAAACCCAAATGTTGGGTTAAAAATACAATTAAAAAATGTACAGTTGAAAGTGAAAGTTGAAGTTTGGGTTTGTCCACATTTGACCCAAATTTCGGTGAAAACAACCCAGCATTGTTTAGATTGTACGCACACTTTTTTAAAATCATTAAATATAATTATTTATCAATAAAAAGCTACCTATATTTCCATCGATGCCAAACAAGAGATATTTCGTCAAACATTTTACGATATATGTTTGAATATATTGTGATTTTAAAAAAAGTCAATATACACACTTTTTCCTAGGTATCATCTCGCTCAGCCCTACTAGAAGAGATGATGAAATCTGTGTTATAGTTCAGCTTGACCAAAAGGCCCATGAGGGAATACAAGAATGTGAATGTGTAATGAGAGTGAGATCAGACGATCCCATGGTTCATTCATTGGGGAAATCAAAGCAGGGCGGCCCGAGAGACTGGATCAGATCTGGACGACTCGCATCAGATCCGCCATCAAAGAGGAAAAGCGTCTTCCTTTAAGCCATCACTGCGTCCTCAGATCTAATATCAGCTCTAATGTCTCTCCGTGGCTCTTTGATGGACACTGAATCTGATCTGATCGCTCTCTCCTCCACCGCTGGAGACGGAAACCAATTTGGCTCATTCTGCATGTTCACACAGCAGAGAAATTGGCACGACTCTGGACCCTTAAATCTGCTGGTCTCCAACCAGGAATCAATCATCGCCACTGAAGTTTTCAGAACAACAAATCGCTCTGGCACAAAAACAAAACGTGCATCGCTCCCGCTTTAAAAAAACACACCGGAAGTGTAATCGTGTGGATACATTGCGGCTGTTTTTGTCAAGCTACACAGCTACTAAAGTGTGGACATTAAAAAAAATAAAATGTTTAAACAATCCGCTTTCCACTTTGTCATTTGACATTATTATGCTGGGTTGTTTCAACCCAAATTTGGGTCAAATATGGACAAACCAAAATGTTGGGTTAAAAATGCAATTAAAAATGTTCAGTTGAAGTTTGGGTTTGTCTATATATTTTACCCAAATTTGGGTCACAGCTACTCTGCCAATCTATACATTTAATATATCTAAAAAAAAAAATGTCGATTTATTTATTTATATAATATGATTTATATTTCGTCAGTGGTAAAGCCGACCAGATCCCATCATTGTGCTGGGAAAGGGTTATTTCTCTCTCTCTCTCTCTCTCGCCCGATCTCTCACAGTTTTTATGTACCAGCGGGGAATCTCAAACTAAAGCTGAATTAAAACCACATTGTGCTGCGCTGCAGTACGGGCATGTTATTCTATAGAATGAGAAACAGGAAGAAAGAAAAAAGGGCAAAAATATAAATGGGTGCATGTGTTGGGGAAAAGGAAGGGCCGAATGTTGTGCAATTTAAAGAAAAATGTAGCTCTGCCATTATCGACTCACCATGATCAGTGATCACAACACATGCTGTTCTTTTCTCTGGGCAACATGTTTTGAAATAAATAACGGCGGAATTTTCATTATTGTTTGTGTTTAAAGTTTTACCCCAGCTAACAGAGAACGCTCCGTCAAGGTTACGAACGAACATTCTTTCAGTAACATTAATAGTGTTCGCTCGTAGTTATCTGGCCTTTGGTGTTGTTTTCAGAACATCAGCACAAAAACATTATTTATACATCATTCAGGGAACTTTTTCTCCTGAAATAGATGTCCGTTTAGCGCTAAAAACAAATGTTAGTTATTTCAGAATGTTCAGAGAACGTTCAAAAGGAACTTTCCCACAAAAATGGAATGTTGAGCTTTTAGAGAACGTTCAGAACGTTTAATGGGAATGGTGGCATTCTCTGAACATATTTTTGTTAGCTGGGAAAGTGCAAATTAACATCATTAACCACACACACACACACACACACACACGTTTACTTAGCTATTTAAATGGGGACATTTCATAGACGTAATGGTTTTTACAGTACAACTGTATATTCTGTCCTCATACACTAACCTGACCCATATACCTAGCCATCACACACACACACACACACACACACACAACCACACACACACTCACCCGACTCCTAAACCTACCCATCACACACACAAGCACACACACTCATACTAACCCAACCCCTAAACCTACCCATCAAACACTCACACACACACACACACACTAAGCTGACCCCTAAACCTACTAATCACACACAATCACACACACTAAACTGATCCCTAAACTTACCCATCACACACATACACACACACACTAAACCGACCCCTAAACCTACTAATCACACACAATCACACACACACACTAAACTGACCCCTAAACCTACCCATGACACACACTCACACACACTAAACTGACCCCTAAACTTACCCATCACACACACACTCACACTAAACCGACCCCTAAACCTACTAATCACACACAATCACACACACACACACACACACACACACACACACACACACACACTAAACTGACCCCTAAACTTACCCATCACACACACACTCACACTAAACCGACCCCTAAACGTACTCATCACACACCTCACACACACACACACACACACACACATACACAAACCCGACCCCTAAACCTACCCATGACACACACTCACACACGCACACACACACACTCACCCGACTCCTAAACCTACCCATCACACACACACACACACACACACTCATACTAACCCAACCCCTAAACCTACCCATCAAACACTCACACACACGCAGACACACACACACTAACCCGTCCCCTAAACCTACCCATCACACAAAACTTTCTGCATTTTTACATAAAAAAAAAAAACTTTAGTCACTTAATTTTAATACCAGATTTACAGATAATGAGGGAGTTTTTTGGAGATTTTGTCAGGTTTTGGTCCCTTCCGAGTACAAATTTGTCCCCAAAATATAGTTAAGTAGGCACACACACACACACACACACACGCAGTGCAGATGTGCCACTGTCTGACCTGTTCTGTGTTTCTGCAGGATCTGCAGTTAGAGTCTTGCTTGAGTGCGTCTGAGAGCCCTCAGCCTGCAAGACCCCAGATCATTGGCCAGTCCACACTCTAAATGCTGTTTCTCTCTCTGTCTGTCCGTTCCATCTTTCTCTATGCTCTATTGTCTCACCGTCCCTCTGTCCATCATCCCTTGGATCATGTCTGTCTGTCCGCCTGTCTCTTCTTCTGCGTTGTTGTGGAAGGTGTGGCCTCAGCCTCAAGCCACGCCCCCAAACGTCCCAGCGACCCCACATTCCCGCGCAGCAGAGCTCAGTCTGCACCCGGTGCCCGTCGTCTCCACGCCCAGCTCCAGTCGGGACCCGTGACCCCGGGAACAATGCCAGGATGCTTTGTTTTGGGTGGAGGGTGTCCTCACGGCCGTGGGAAACCTGGGAACGGCCTAAAAAATCATATAAAAACAGTTTTTGAACAGAAATGAGTGCAATCTCTGTAAAATGACAAACCACACATCGAGTCTGAGACCACTAGTGAAAATCTTCAAATCCTTTAAACACAAATATACGACTGTGAGAGGAAGCAATGTCACGTGTTCAATGTCACAAAATTTGTGTATTTGATGAGTGGCGTTCTAAATGTTTTCTTATTGTACGCCATTGCGTTTTTTTTGTTTAACATTTTTCGAAACCCAAACACGCTCTGTTTATTTTTCTGGTTTCAATCCCATGAGGAATCCTAGATTTTCACCATGGTCTCAGACTTTTGGGCCCCACTTTTAAACACACTTTAAAAAAGGATGAGAGAAAAGAAGAGGGATTTAGAAGAGAGACGAGACTTTAGACGCAAGCCAAGGGGATTTAGAGATGATGAATGTTGCTTCACACACACACACTCGAAAACAATCAATTTGCAGCATCAAACACACAGTCACCTTGTCCTCTTTCTCCTTTATGATCAAACTAATGATTGATGTGAAGAGGAATATAAAAACACACACACACACACACACACAAAAAAGTATTACGTTTACCTGCAAGAGCTGATTGCGAAAATCCCAGCGTCCTTCACGAACACACACTGATATACTGCCTTCCACTCGACTTGGAAAAGGACAACAGATCTCCAAGAAGTTTGACTTAATACTTGGAAACTCGTTTGATATCTAAAACTCTCAGATTTTGCTAAATGTATGTTGTCACACAAACATGGTGGCAGCCAGTTAATGATTAATATACCCGTTGAAACAGAACAAAATGAATCTTAGGCCGTGTTTACATTGGTTTTAAGATGTGTTTCGGTCAATCGGATCACAAAGTGGATGAAACTAAAGGTATAAACAGGGTATAAACATGATGCTCTCTGTGTTTTTCCGTCTCCAGACGCATTCATATTTTAATAGCGAGAGCTTATTTCGTCCGTTAGATTGAAAGATCTGAAAACACACACCCACTGAGCAGAATGTCCAAAAAATGTCTTTTCAACGTCTTTGTCACAATGTCGGACGTCTGAAAAAGACACTAATGGATCCTTCGTACAAGATTAAAAACTAGTTTGAATGTGGCCATTTTCAACATTTATGGTCTCATTTAGACAATTTATACTCTTTCTGGACCAAATAAACACTCCCAGGATGCATTAAATTAAAACTCTTGTTTATTTCAATGTAATTTCCTTACATTGTTTAGATGGAGATATTTGTTTCATTTTAAGTCACCATTGTGGTGATCAGTGTTTGCTTTAGTTGGGCTCTCGGTTCCAATTTTTCGTACTTTAGCCTTTCTATGGCTGTTGTAACTGTGTGTTTGAATAACACCATTGTTGTGACAGAGAAAGCCAAGAAATGTAAAATTGGTTCTCATCAGCTCCTTGTTGTTAATGATGATGATGAAATCAACATAAAGTGAGCATTTAGTGTTGTGTTTAGACTTTTGTGTTTATAACCACCAACCTTGTGGAACTGCATTATTTGGGCTAATAGCATGGTTTTAAGAAAATGTACCATATAGTCATACACAGAGATCAAGATTTTGCATGAGTCACAACAATGGTGACAATAAATAAAAAAATGCTTCATGCTGCAATGCATGATGAGCAGCTTTCATAGTACAAAACATCCTTGATTCCCAAGCTTTTTTGTTTTGGTTGTCACCATTGTTGAGAGACATATCCAAAATCTTGATGTCTGTGTGTGACTATGTGATTCACTTTCTTGAAATATTTTGTACACAGTGGTCATTTTAAAGTTACTGATCCAAATAATGCAGTTCCACAAGATTGGTGGTTATGCATATGAGATATAAAAACAAAAGTTTAAATGGTGTTTAATGCTTGCATTGTGTTTATTGTCATCAACAAGCAGCTAAAGATATCTGATTTTTCATTTTCTTGGCTTTCTCTGCAAACAATGGTGTTATACAAACACACAATTACAACAGCCAAAGAAAAGCTAAAGTAAGGTGATCTGGGACTAAGAGCCCAACTAAAGCAAACACTGATCACCACAATGGTGATTTAAAATGAAACAAATATCACCATCTAAACCACATCTAAACAATGTAAATAAACATGAGTTTTAATTTAATGCATCCTGAGAGTGTTTATTTGGTCCAGAAATAGTATAAATTGTCTAAATGAGACCATAAGTCCACAATTGCCACATTTGAACTAGTTTTTAATCTTGTCCGAAGGACCCATTAACGTCTATATCGGACGTCCAGAACACGTCATTCCGACCCCTCATGTGACATCTTTTCAACGTCCGAATTTTTTGACAAAGACGTTGAAAAGACGCCTTTTGGACATCATTTTGCTTAGTGGGCACATTTACCCTCTCATTGACCCTTCCCTTGAGGAATCAGGACAGAAGTGGCTGAAAGTAGGCAAAAGAGACGGATTAAAACACCAGGTGTGAGCGGGAATATGTCTCTCTCGTCTACTTGTGATCCGATCCACCAAAACACATCTTAACACCAGGAGTAAACAGGCCCCAGGCACATTATACCAATGCTAGTAAAATAACATTGGTTTTCAGAGAGAGGTGTGTGTAAAACACAGTAAATGGTGTTGATTGCTGAGCACGATTTTTCCACACAGTTTGGTGGAGTTCTTTAATGAAGACTGAACATCTGCAAGGCAAACGGTGTTGTTTTTTACACCTCTTCATCCGGGGGTCAGCAACTCTACACCACAATAGTTGGACGCATCTAGAGAATGTAAGTCAGCTGCTGACCCTTGACACGCTCAGAAACTTCCCTCGTCAGGGGACTCGCTGTGACAGGTAGAGCGAGATGTGAAAGATCGCTTCTGGACGTTTCCAGCGTTCACATGTTTGGGAATGAGGTTAGGGAATCTGGGATTTTGAAGTATTAAAGTGGGGTGTGGTGTGGTGTTCAAGATGGCATTTCCTGATGCGTATTGACATGTTTAAACTGTCCTCATCTCTCTGCCAAATGTTGCAAAGTGCCTTTTCTGGTCACCGATCAAACTATCGAGACACACACTGGAAAACACAAGGTTGAGCTGGGGATTTCTTTTGTTTGCTTTGTTGTTCAGCTTCTTCCCCGTCAGATTACTTCTGTTCATGTGCTTCATTGTTAAATGCTTATAATTATTCATATGGCAAAATTTCACAATGTAATGATATTGTAAAGTTACACGCCGACAAATATTATCATAGCACTTCTCAATCAGTCATTTCTATTGGCGTTTGATGTAAAAATGATCTTACCATATCTTTTTGAGGCTTTAAGGCCTGAGTTACAGAGATATTTCCTGTGTAACGGCGGCCATGTTTGTTGTTTGTTACGCGTGCCGGCATGTATATTTAGCTGTTCATAAAAGCTATAAAGAATGTGCATTGCTTTGTTAATGCTAAATGTGCCTCTGATGTAAACGTATCACTCATGATAATTCAGCCGGCATGTTTTAAGCTTGTTCATGTCAGCCAGCAATCTTTACAACCGATACCCATTTCTTTTATTAAACCCAAAGACTTGTTTGATTCTAGACGTGTTGGAGCTGTTTTAGCACGAGTCCGCACCGTCAAACTGTGAATGACACATTAACCAATCACTCTGAGCAAATGCCATGTTTTGCAATGTTGCTGTTGTTATTATTATTACTTTTTAATGATTACTCAATTTGTATTATGCATTTGTTTCTGGATGCTTAATCAGAGATCTGTGACATTTGTGTGGGGAAGTTTAGAAATGTTGTTTTTTATCCCCCTAAAATGATTCATTTTTTGGATAAATGCAGAAAACAGATCGACAGATTAAAAAAAAACAATTTGACTTTTTAAAGTCTCCCTGTGGTGAAAATGAAGTTTTTAATGTTGTTTATGTGTCTACTACGTGCCCAGACAGCAAACTGACATTGAATCAACGTGGAAACGACGTCTCTCATGACATTGAAACAACGTTGATTTGCTCATCGAATTAACGTTGAACCAACGTCAGACGCGGCATTCTTCAAAGCTAAATAAAATCGAAAATTGGTTTGCTTTCATAACGTTGAAACAACGCGTTGATTTTATGTTGATTTTCCGTTAGTTTTGAAAGAATGACGCGTCTGACGTTGGTTCAACGTTAATTCGATGAGCAAAACAATGTCAGATCAACGTTGTTTCGATGTCATATTTCCACGTTGATTCAATGTCAGTTTGCTATCTGGGTGGTGTTTTTAATATGCTTTAAGACAAATTGTGTGTTTTTTCATAAGTTTTATCTATTTTCAGTCACAAAAACATGGTTGGAAATCGCTGGTGTTTCTGATATCACGCACTACCATGTAACCAATCAGATCAACGTGTGATCGCCAACCAGCCAATCTCTGAGCTGAGTGAGTCAGTGGAGTTCGGGCTCATTTGCATATTCATAGAACCGCGAATGAGGCAACGGTGTCGAGTGACATTCAAGATATTTTAAGACATGAAGAATTATTTTTTCAAAGAAAAACATTTAAATATGTAATTTTGGAGCTCAAAGATGAGTTAAGAGGGGAAAATGATTGACTACAGGGGGACTTTGAGTAAGTCAGAGACACAAATGGCACAGTTCCCTGAAAAAGAGCCGGCTTCTAATCATATATTGCACTCTAAAATATTAAAACTAGTCAATATCAGAAATCTATGTTGATGGGATATTGCAGAGATTGTTTGAGTATGTTCAACAAACAGATGATACCATAATCATACACCTGAAATCAATCAGACCTCAATAAATGAGAAACCTATTTAAGTTGTACATATACTGTTTTTGTCTAAATAAAAATGATTAGTATATATATCTAATCTGAGTGTATCTTTCATTCTTTTTGTGCATATTAAAAACTGAAGTTATATTCTGCCGTTGCAGCGCACATCTTATCAAAAGGCATTTTTGCTTACCAATAAACATAACGTTTTCATCTTGCAGAAAATAATATGGATTCATGTGTTACTCCAGAAATACGGCACTACATTTAAGGAGGTCTTTCATATCTGGGGAGAGTTAGTCCGTTAGATTTCCATTCATCTCGGGGACAGTTCCTTGGCTCACGCAGGACCTCCTCGAAGTACGCAATTTAAAATCGACCATATTTGCTCATAAGTTGACATGATCTTCTTGAACCACTATGTGACTAATCAATCTTGAAGGTGTTGTATGGGGCCTAATGCAAAATCCATTAATGCGGGCCCCTGTCATTGAATAAACTCACATACATGAACATTTAAGTTTCACAAACTAAAAAGTTCAATGTGTGTTGGCTTTCCTCCTTTGACACCATCTGGAATTTCACAAAACTGTAGATGTTTTTTTATATATATTTCAAGGCTAATACAGCAAACATTCTGATACTGTTGATACAATTTTACCATTGAACCCTTGAAAATATGTGTAATCTTAATATACCATGTAATTGTGTGTCTATGTATTTACTGTGTAATGTAAATGTTTTCAGTATTTAAATAAGGGCAGCATCTGTTTACAAAAATAAAAAGTTATGTAATTTTACTGACTAGTAA